CAAGGTCAGTGGTTCAAGCTCACCAGCTGCTCCTTGGAAACCCTATACAGGGTCGCTATGGGTTGGAATCGACTTGATGGCACTTAACAACAACAACAACAAAAAATCATCAACAACACCACAGTAGTTGTTGCTGCTGCTGTTACGTGCCATTGAGTTGATTCTGACTGACAACAACCCAGTCTAGTGCTTACAAGGAGTGGCTGGTCAGTTTGAATTGCTAACCTTGTGGTTAGCAGTCCAGTCATTAACCTAACGCACCACACAAGGACTCCATTAACTCCATTAGACATTATTGTTGGTCCAGAAAAGTCTAGTAATTCAAGGTAAAGAGAGGGTATGTTTTCTTTCAACCTTTACTGCCATGAAACGGGCTTAGGGCCCAGTTAGACCTTGAATATTTAACTTAGACCCATATCCATGATGGTCTTTGTGATCATGAATGCCATCATCAAGGTGCTCCCTGAACATTAGGGATCTTCCTGTGAACACCAACACTTTTCTTGAGAAGTCTCCTGTGCCTGGAGATGCTGACAGCAAGGAAATCTGGACAAAGACCAGAAAGTACTAGTATCAGCATCTTGAAGTTGGCCGAAGAGTTTGTGCTGTTTCACTTTCAAAGGCAACGGTAGCTCATTATCTAGCAACCTTGAGATTTTACTAGCAGTACTGGGCAAACCCACCAGCCACTCCTTGGACACTCTATACCAGATCACTGTGAGGAGGAGCAGGCTTGGTGGTACTTAACAATGGAGCAAGTGGCCCTGGTAAAATGACAAGCTAGTGATCATTTATAAACATGTCTCTTTAGGTTTGAAAGTCTATGGTCTTGATTTCATTTTTCCTTATAATTAAAAATAAATGCAGTGGAATTTGATCAAGGTCATTGATGAGTCTATCAGAAGACTTCACATGCCTCCAAAACTGTTGGGATGCAGGTGCGTTACTGCTGGAATCTAGGAGGAGGCAGCGCTGTTGCTTTGGATGGCTGTTTACTGCTTGTTCTAGTCTCGTGTCACTTCTGGTTTTGCTTATTTTGGGTCAGTTGGCTACTTTTCCTTACTTATCGTTATTAAATATTTTGCTACCTATCAATTTAAATCACACCTATTAGCCTAGTTTTCCTGAGACTTTTGAGGTCTCTGTAGAATTTTCTACCTCTGTCTACTTCTTTTTAGTGTCTTACATCTGTAACTAATTTGAAGCATGACATGTCATTTTATTATAATAGTGCTTGATAGTATAACACTGTGTAGGAATAAGAATGGGCCCAAGAAATAAAAACCTTCCAACTCAATACGATTCAAACTTCTATCTTTTAGCATTGGGGTTGGATGAGTCAAGTCATGGAATAGAAAGTATACATTGACTTAAAATAACTAAAGAAAATTGTTCTTATTCCTTGAAATCAAAGATTAGGAAAAAAATTTTATGCTCACTTGTATTCTGTGTATTTCCAACAGTGGAATAATATAAGACAAAAAAGAGGCCTAAATGTTAAATAAACATAAATTCACTAGAATACCTCTTTGTTCTCAGACGCAGAATAGATTTTTCCATATTATTTTATACATTATCTTGTTCTGAGAAGTGTAAGTATTCAAGTATGATTTGAATAATGTAATAACTGAATGGACAGAAATTTGTTTTTATTTTCTCAGTTCACTAGGAATAATCCCACTGAAAATAGACATTTTGAACCTACTTTTTAAAACAAATTTAATATGTGTTTTATGATTCTTGATTTGCCATTAAGGGATGAGACTTTGTGATTTAAAAAGACAATCACTTGTGAAAAGGAGGGTAGCATGCATGCCAGGAGAAAAAAATGCTATAGCTTTAAGATAAGGTAGTCTGGAGATTCATTGCACGAAACAAGATCGATTTGGAGCAGGCTCCTACTGTTAGCTTATTTGAAGATGGATTCTCATGCCGAAAAATAACGCAACCTATTCTAGATAGCGGCAGCGTCGTGCCCAGAAATCCACCAAAACTGAAGAAAAATCCAAGTGACTGTTGTTAGCAGCTGTGTGGCCCGGAGTTCACTGGGGAAGCTGGCTTCCTGCAGTCCCCTATTCATCACCTGCTTCAAAGACAGCCTGGCTGGCTATAGTTTGCAGGCCAGGTAGGGTGCCATTGTGCAGTCTGGGAGGATTAGTATCAAAGCTGCGGCAACCAGGCCCTTGGTCTCCGGCTGCCATTCAGTCTAGCAGGGAGAGGCTAAGACTGGCCAAGGTCACAGTCTCCAGTGTGGAGTGGACTGGGAAAGTATCCTGAGAATAGAATGCTTTTTATGAAATCATGGCGCAAGCTTGCAGCACAGCAGGCTACCTTCTGGACACGTAACATCTGTTTATGTTGGTCTACCATAGCTGACAACGAGATAATAGAGCTTTGAAATTTATCATTTTATTTTTGAAAAGACAACTGTATATACAAATCATCCAGATGCGTCTTTAGCTCTGATCTTTTCTTTGAAAATTATAAAGAAAACTGACCGATGTAATTGCTGCTTTTTTGTTTTGTTTTGCTGTACACGTATATATTTAAGAACAAAACAAAGCGTACCGATGATTAACCATTTATAACCACGGTGATCGTAATGCCCGGATTCTTGGGGAGGAAACACCTAGCCTTCACCATCATTTTTTTCCATGTTCAGACATTTGTGTCAACAGAGTGCAGAAGGGTTTGTTGAATATACCCACCTTCTCTGAATATTAGGAGATTTGAATAGGATCCCTCCCCCACCCCAAAGGGAGAGTATTTCACGGGTGAGGTAAGAATGACGCAAAAATAAAATTTTCAACTTGGACAAATTAGGGAAAATTAAGCTGTACATGAGTTGTCATGACGACAAGGATGTTCTGTTGATGAACTGTCGTCCTCATTGTCCAATCAGATAGTCGAGCTGAAGCTGGAGCATGAACAAGAGAAGACGCACCTATTACAGCAACATAACTCAGAGAGAGATAGTCTAGCCCGAGACCATGATCGGGAAATGGAAAACCTGGAAAAACAGCTTCGCGCTGCCAATATGGAGCACGAAAACCAAATTCAAGAGTTCAAGAGACGAGATGCACAGGTAATTACCAATAATATTTGATACAGCGGGTCTCTCTAAAAAGTCATCAGCGTTTAATGTTTTCTTATTGTTCTTATTGATGCACGCTGTTTGATCATTTGCAAAACTGACATATAAATGTGATTTGTTTTGTTTTGTTCTGTTTTCTCTCCTCACCCCAGCCCCTCCGTTTGGGGGATGAATAAGGCTTTAACTAGAGAAACCACAGGTAGCCAGATTAAAAATCCCATGGCGCGCTATAACTTGGCCTCTTTTTTATAATCTTGTCTCAGTTCCTTTCATGATGGATTTTTTTTTTTTTTTTTTAAGGTATCTGCCCCTTACCCCTCCCCTCAGCCATAGCAAATCCTTATGAAATATATCAGAGCTGCCCTTGCTTTTTGTTTTAATCTCTGCAGGTAATCAAGCATTTGTTTTAATATTTGCTTTCCTTTCCTAGTGTTGCTTTTTTCCCTCAGACTCTCCCTGTGATTCGATCACTCAGATGATAACGGAGAGAAATGACTACAGAGAAGGGCTATTTCCCATCAGGTCTGTGGGTTTTGCTCCATGCACATATCCATGTCTCCTGGCTTCCATCTCTGTAGTCCCTGTTGGAAGCCATTTGGCCGAATAACCCCCAGCTGTGGTAGCATTTGACTCTTCAAACTTATGGATGAAATGTGCACTGTCAGCATGGAAAATTATCTTTATAAATTTCAGATGAAAAAAGAAAATCTTATTGGGTGTGTACCTTTGTGGTATAATGCATTCTTGAGGGTATAGATAATCAAAGGCCTCTAATGTCTCCTATTGAGGAGAGGGTGCTATAAAATTTTATTAGAAAAAAATAGTTATGCAATAGACAACAATAAAAAGATCATCTTTTTTTCCAATGAAACCATATCATCTACTAGGTTGAAACGCCTCTTTTTCCATTGGTGTCAAACCATATTCCCCACACCACCCCTAAGCTTCTTCCCTTAGGTATCCTTCCTTCTAAAAGAGTATAATTTTCAAGCAACGAAACACGCCTTCTCTTTGTTGTAGTATGTATTTAAACAATTTACAACTGCCTAAACATAAAAATACTCCCAATGAAATAGAATGGAGGTCCATTCTTTGGGTGAAGGGCAGAAGGCGGTAAGAGGAAGAACAGGGATTTCTGGCTGTTTTTTATTTGACCTTGGGGTGTTTGTTACTTTCTGAGAGGAACAGAAGCAATGTAAATACACCGAGTATATGTTGTTGGTTTGTTTTGTTTTGTTTGTTTTTTGGTCAACAAGAGGAGGAAAGGCATTTTCAGTGTCTCTTATGGTGGTTTTCTAACTGCAGAGATGCTCATTGCAGTGGTCATGGACCCAAAATTGTAAGGTGGTGCCTGTTAATCACCATGAGTTTTAATTATGCCGTCAGCCTGATTAGAGCCTTTTTTAAAATATCGGCTGGTCTTTTCGATTTTTAGCCATACATTTCATCAAGACTCTTTTCAAACTTCCATTTTCCCTCAACCATGATATTAAACCTTACCATTGTCTTCGACGATAAGGGACTTGGGGTTGTGAATCAGTGTGTAGGGTCTTTTTGCATGAGGAATTCAGTAACGGATACAGTAGGGTACATTAATTTATATAACATCCTACTAGTTTGGTGCTGTTGTGGAACCTCGACACAAGTGGAGGCCAAATTTAAAGGACATCTTTGTGATTTCCCGTATGCTCTATGTGCAGTACAGGGCGTGGTTCACCTAATAACAAAAGGGAAATTTGAGGACTAGTTCTTATGATTAAGCCACAGGGATAGTGTCACTCGGTTACTCATTGAATTCCTTCCTGCTGAAATAGTAAGATGACCGTGTAGTCTCTTCAAATGCTGTTCCTGAGGATTATATTTCCTATATTTTGTGTCTTTCTTGGAACGTTGGATTGATAGCCTATTGCTGTCACGGGGATACCAGTAAGCAATGGAAACCAAATTTATTCTTGATCAAAGAAATTTCCTGTACACCTTGTGAAACTTACTTGTTTTCTGAACATTTTATCAATGTTATATTTTATCATATGTACCAAAATTCTAGTAATCACTTAAGGTTGTTCATTGAGGTTATTAATTTAATGTTTCCTTTAGGTAAATTCTAAATTAAAAAAAAATTACATTGTAAATAATCCCATGTAGAATACCTTTTAGTTCCTGAATTTCACTCACGGATTAAACAGCAAACCAGGCCAAAAAACAGTAGGCATATATATGTAGTTTTTTTAAATAAAATGATCTTGTTTCAAATCATTGTGTTGTGGTTTAATGCCAAACAGATACGTATATCTTAAATATTGGAGAGCCTGATTTCTTACTTTAGTTCCCAAGAGGCTGTGAATTTTTGTTAGCGTTTGGCTGCTCCAGGTTGGACGTGGAGGCCATTTTGGAGAAAGGACTCTGAGAAACTGAAGAAGACCAGAGAGAGACGGCTAGTCCAGGCTCTGTGGCTCTGGCTACTGCTTCTCTCTCATCAGATTTTTAAATGGAGCCAATATGCTAACTTATTTCTTGCTGTCCTTAAAGAAGTAGGCTATTTTGTAGTGATAAGTAAATCAGGACTGTGAGGTATAGTTGCCCAGTTTCAGGGTGAGCCGTAGCCATTAAGAACTCCCTTTTGGTAGATATGATTTGTTATTCTGATTGGTTAGTTATAATTCAAATAATTTCTATTTCTTAGAGAAATTTTGAGACAGTGATTCTACTGAGGGCAGTTAATCATTTCCTTCATTTTATCGAGTGTATTTAGCTAATTAATTCATTCTAGGTTACCTTTTTGTCATAATAGTTTAATTTTCAATGGTAAGCTATTCCATGTTGTGATACTTACATTTGCTAAATTGCACATTACATATTATTGCTTTCATATAAGAAATTTCTATCTGGCATTTATCTAAGGATGTTTAAGAAAAAACATCCAGATCACTAGAAATCAAGACACAGAAATTCATAACCTCATTGTCAGATATTTCTCATTTACCAGGCCCCTCTTATTGAAATTAAGGACCCTGGTGGCACAGTGGTTAAAGTGCTCAGCTGCTAACCTAAAGGGCAGCAGTTTGAACCCACCAGCCTTTCCAAGGGAGAAAGACGTGTCAGTCTGCTTCCGTCAAGATTTATAGCCATGAGCTCTAGTAGCATATTGGTTACAAGTTGGGCTGCTAACCTCAAAGTCAGCAGTTCAAAACTACCAGCTGTTCTATGGAGAAAGATGAGGCTTTCCGCCCTGGAAATGCTTTGTAGGGTCACTATGAGTCAGAACCGACTCTACAGTACACCTACCAACCAAGCTAACCCTTTGGCGGGCAGTTCTACTCTCTTCTAGGCTTGTATAAGTCAGAAGCTATTTAGCATCAACAAGGTCTTTGGTTTTTTTTATTCTTGATGAAATTATTTTAGTGACTAAATGGTTGAATCCGTTGTATTTTTTACTATAAAGGATATTTGTAAAGATCATTTTAGGAAAGCCGCTTCTAACATAGCAGTTCTATGCATTTTACTTTAAGAACAGCGATCTAATGAATTTATCCTGTTGAATCAGAAGAAAAATGGAACAATGACTCTTCAGCCCACTGGCTGTTCTGTTCGGACCCTGAACCTGACTTGATGTTTGGTATTGTTGCTGATATAAATGGTGTGTGTGAATACCGTAGAGACTCCTCCATAGAATCTTTGTGCTCTACCCCACAGGTGGTATCTCCACCTTAGACTAGCTGCCCTTGTGACCTGTTGAAGTAAGATCAACTGGGGAGTTACCTCAGCAACCGTTGTTCAATACAGTCAGTATAACTGCAAATTAAACACAGCATACTTGGAGAAGGGTCATCAGAGATATCTGAGAAAATATTCAACGTAGCCTTTATATAGTCAAGCATTGTCCCCTCTATGCCATTCTTGATTCCCTAAACTGAGAATCGTAGTTCCATATGAACAGTTTTAGCATCGTAAATGGACAAATCATCTTGATTTTTACCATGTTGATTCACATGGAGAGGCTGAACCAGTTGCTGATTCTAGTAACATGGGGAATTTTCAGAATTTCTCTACTTTCTTTTAATATATAAGTGTCATTGAGTCAGTTCCAACTCATAGTGACCTAGTATAATGTCTATGAGAAGCTGCTGGTGAGTTTGAACCGCCAACATTTTGCTTTCAACTGACTTTGCAGTCCAGTGTTTCGTCCTACATCTCCACACCAGGACTCCACATGTTTGTTGTTGTTGTTGTTGAGTGCCCTAGAGCCTTTTCCAACTCATATAGGGTTTCCAAGGAGGTTTTCCAAGGAGCTGCTGGTGGATTTGAACTGCTGACTTTATAGTTAGCAGCTTAATGAGTAACTAACTCTTCTATACACACTCTCTCTATATATATATGTGTGTGTGTGTGTATGTATATATATATATATTTTTTTTAAATGGTCTTATCGTGTAGATCTATTTAGGAAACATATATATGCTTCCAAATATATGTGCATATGTGTGTGTATCTGGTGTGATGCTGTAGGACCAGCACTGGACTATGAACAACAAAATCGGCAGTTCAAACCCATTAGCTGCTCCTCGGAAACCCTATATAGGTTCGCTGTGACTCTATGTGAACCAACTCAAGGGTACTTAACAACAATAACAACATATATGGGAGTGTGGTTCCTCTATACAATAAGCACTGATTGCAAACCGCAAGGTTGGCAGTTCAAGTCTACCAGCTGTTCCTTGGGAGAAAGATGAGGCTTTCTGCTCCCTTATAGATTTTTTTGTTAAGTTTTTATTGTGAATTAAGTGATCGTTTCCATGGGAGAACATTGGTTTAATACTCATCGTTTCATTGCAATGATTACAATCCCCTCCATGCATCATCATTCAACAGTTTTTGCTTCTATTCCCTCCGAGTTTTTTTTGGATGTACAGAAAAACACTCAGGAATATATAATCATTTAAACAACCAAAGGGCACATTCTTCAAGCCTGCCTCCTGGCTGCCAGCACACAG